TGAGGTGACAAGTTGGGTTCAGCGGGATCCGCCCCGGCCGGCCAGGTCTCTCCATCCCCTCAGATCCCGCTGAACCCCACTTGTCACCTCAGCACCCACTAAATTCCCCTCCAACGCCCTCAGTGCCCAGCTGGGGCCCCTCATCTCCTCAGGGCCCCCCTAAACCTCCCTCTGTTGCCTCAGCGCCTGTCTGGGTCCCTCCATTCCCTCAGGATCCTGCTGAGTCCCACTTGTCCCCTCAGCACCCGCCTGGGTCCTCCATCCCCTCAGATCCACCTAAATTCCTTTTCTCTCTTTGTGCCCCAGGACCCTCTCCCGTTGGAGGGGAAGAGCCCAGGGAGGAGGCAGCAGGGTCAGCCTGCGAGCCCGGGCGCCATGTTCTACATGAATTTCCTCATCAGCAAGCGCGGGCCCTTGGCCAAAATATGGCTTGCTGCCCACTGGGAGAGGAAGCTCACCAAAGCTCATATATTTGAGTGCAATTTAGAGACTACCGTTGAAAAGATCATCTCGCCGAAGGTACGCTATTAAACGAGAAGGTGTCTTCTGGGTGGTGTTCGTCTTCTGTGGGGAACAGAAGATGCTGTCATGGAGACTCACCTGGTTGGTCAAATTTGTGGCTATTTCAAAACCAGCGTGAGGTAAATTCCTAATCTGATTTTAATTCAGTTCTCAAATAGTATCTCCATCTCGTTAAATGACAGTTATATAAATGTTTTACCTGGCAAACTCGGTTTTTGTTCGGCTGGTGACACCGAGTGTGCGAGCGGTGCAGGCCCTGCGGAGGCAGAGACGGGTGGTGCCTCCCCAGCGGGCTCCGTCCAAGGGCAAAGGAGGTTGGGAGGAGGGTGCTGGGGGGTGCTCTGCATTAACAGGGAGCTGCCCTGAGGCGAGCGGCGCCGTGCTGCGGGTGCGTGCGTGCTGCCCGCTGCGCCTGGTCAAATTTGTGGCTATTTCAAAACCAGCGTGAGGTAAATTCCTAATCTGATTTTAATTCAGTTCTCAGATAGTATCTCCATCTCGTTAAATGACAGTTATATAAATGTTTTACTTGCTACTTTACTCCTGGAGATCTCTGGCGTACTTTTATGTACAGTGTAAGGAAATACCACCACAGAATATTCAGATGTGTTTTTCCACACACTCCAGGGAGCGCTCTGCGGGCACCGCTGGCTGAGTACAGTCCCGCATACGATCCCACGCAGGATCCTGGCACCTGGGTTTGAGCTGGTCGTGAGGCAGCACGAGCCCCTCAGTGCCGTGTGGTAGTCCTGGTCTTTTCTGTGGGGACTTTGAGTACCAGCTGCAGGTGTCGTTCACTTGCTCCGGTTGGAGCGAGTCCAGAGGAGGCCACGAAGATGCTCAGAGGGCTGGAGCCCCTCTGCTGTGATGAAAGGCTGCGGCGCTCTGCGTATCGCGGATGGGGTATGACTCAAGCCCCAGTGCAGGCAGCCAGGTACCCGTGACTCATGACTTTTGGCCTCGCTGTTGCAATTGCATCCAAGGGAACGCTTTGCACTGTCACTAATCGATGGCTCAGGAGATCCAAGGCTTCCAGCTGGTCCAAGCAGGTTTATTTTCTCCATGAAAATACCTGCTTGATATTTGGTAGCCGGAATTGCAATGTCTCGCATGGGTTATGATTAACAACATTGTTAAATGATATTATTCGGAAGGGTTTTCCAAGAGGTACTAGTTAAACACCCTCTGCTTTCCCTTGCATGCTGTCCTGCCGAGCACGACCACGCTGTGTGTGCTTGGTGCAGGAAGACTTTGCATAAATAATGGCATAGGGGTGGTGTCTGCTCACTTAAACAACCGGTGTCAAATGCTAGGGTAGGCGCAGCTCCTTTCTGTCCCAGGATGAGTTTGTTGGCAGCCGGCTGAGATGTTTTAGCTGAAGTAAGTGCATCAGTTGAGGACTCGCGCTTTGACATGGCAGTGGGTACAACAGAAGCAACTGCAAGTTCCAGGCTCTGAAAATTCATTTCTGTTTACCATCGTCTGCACCAGTACCAAGCCCTGTTGGATTTCGTAGACCTCTGTACTGCTCTGTGTTACCAAAATGCTGTCACTACTGTGTAATATTTTCATTTGATGTTTTTGCCAAAAATATTAACTTCTGAACAACTTTTTTAAACCCTCAAAGTTTACAATAGCTCTGCGAACCTCCGGACACTTACTCCTAGGATTGGTGCGAATTTACCACAGGAAAGCAAAGTACCTCCTGGCAGACTGTACTGAAGCTTTGACAAAAATGAAGACAGCCTTTCGCCCGGGTAGGTACATAATTCTGCATTTTTCCCTCTGTGTCCTTTACAGCTCTCACTTTAAAAGTTAATTTTGGATATTTTGGTTAAATACGCATTAGCAATCCCAAAGGAAATTGAACATTCTAGTGCCTGCTGCTGGCGTTCAGTCTGTCTTAATGCCATTTCAGGCCTTTGACTCCTTTAAAAGAAGCAGTATCTCAAGTGAACTAATGAGCAGAAGCTTAAATCCAGCCTCCGTTGCTAGATAATTAGTTTTAATTTCTGATGACACCCACAACATGTCTAACCGCCTGTTAGTGCCAGATCTGACAGTGCGCTTTGAGCTCTAGCCATGCAGCCAGCGAGGGGGGAGCAGGGATGACTGGATCCTTTTCCAACCGGCTGCACGCCTGTCGTGCTTAGGCGACAAACGGGGAGGCACTGTTGTTTAAAAAAAGGCTAAGGAGGGGATGCCAGTGTTTATTGCCAGCCTTGGGACCCCGTCTGTTGGCAGAGTAGTGAATAACTACATTATTCTCAGCGGTACGAACATGATTAGTTAGTAATATTTGAAAATATTTGGGAATCTCTAGAAGCAACACTCAAGTACACAGCACTATCTGTTTTCAATAGATGCTGTAGTAGCTTATAGAGGGCTGCACGGCACAGGAACAAGACACAGCGGCCACAGCTGCGGCAACGGAGACTCCAGCTACATACAGGGGGGAAAAACACCTCTATGGAAGTGGTAAAAGGCTGTCGAGGGATGCCGTGCATCTCCATCACCATGAACAGTCACAAATGATCTGACTTAGAAATTAACCCCGTTTTGAGCAAAAGGCTGGTCCTGATGACCTTTGGAAATCCCCTCTCACCCGGATTGTTCCGGACCCTCTGACTGCCAAGTATTTGCAGTCTCGCTGGGTAATTACTGGATGCAGAGGAGCCGTGTTACAGACACCGGCGAGACAAAGGAAACACGGTAATTCATTTGAAGTGGTGTGAAAGACCCTGGGCTGGATGTCAGCTGTGAGAATCTTTTGGGGACTTAGAGCAGCTGTTCGTAAACCCGATGTGTTCCCAGTATGTGAGGACCTGTAGCAGCACACTTTTCTGAATCTGTCTGTAAAAATACGGCTTCTCAAGCACATGTAAATTAAGGATTTTGGTTTGAAGTCCTGTTGCCAGTGTGTCCGAGCTTTACCTTGTTGTTACTTTAGAATGGCAGCAGACCTTCCTGACACGTTTCCAGTCTTATTATACATGCTTGGGAGAAGGTTACTTTTATTCTGTTGATACTTATTTTATGTTGTCTGTCTCTTTTAGGGCTTCTTGACCTTCCAGAAGAGAACGTTGAGGCTGTGTATCAGTCTATTACGTTACCTGAAGAATTTAATGATTTTGAAACACCACTACCTGATATAAAGTAAATACTTCTCTGGTTTTACTTCATTAGTTTAGTATTTTTAGAAGTAAGAGATATCCTTGTTGTTATGTGATCAAGACTCAGGTTGAATAGTTTTGATTTGATAAGCAAATCCTCCTGAATTCTGAGTCAGCTTTACAAGGAATTGTGCTTTTGTAGACTTCCTCAAGGTCTGTTTAATCAAGAGACCCTTCCAATGAAATAAGGTATTGCACCTGGACTCCAGGATTTTAAATTGTCTGAGTGAAGCCTGCAAACCACTTGCTGACCCCAAAAGCAGGTATAAAATTTAGTATAAATCCTGCTGTAAGACCAAAGGAGCTCTGGCTAGTAACCTTGCAACACTGTGCTGTTCCCTTGTGTAACTGCATTTAATTTCTGCTCTGTTGCTTTTCGGGGCTGGCGTATTTTATCAGCCGTACTCAGCTTGGCTCCCGATGAAAAGCCGGCTTATTTCTTTGGCTTTTCTGAGGTGAATCAGCATTATCGTATTAAAACTGATCAAAAGCAGGAGGCCAAGACACAACGGCGATGGCTCTGATGCTCCCAAAGGTCCAGGATAACAGACTTCCACTGAGGAAGTACCTCCTCACAAATACAGTTTGATGGGTCTGTCAGTGTTCAGTGTTTTGTAACGTGATATGACTGGTCCCAGCGCATCAGTGCGGTAAGGCCTCAGCGTGCCTTCTCTCCACCCGATACGCGGAGGATGGTGTTACGCTAACTAGGTGCCTTCCATGTGATGAGCGTGTGGCATATAGCAGGGCTCAGACGTGAAAAAATGGTGGTGACAGGACAAGGGGTAACGGGTTTAAATGGAAAGAGGGAGATGGAGATGGGACATCAGGAAGGAATTCTTCCCACAGAGGGTGGGGAGCACTGGGACAGGGTCCCAGAGAAGCTGTGGATGCCCCATCCCTGGGAGTGTCCAAGGCCAGGCTGGATGAGGCTTGGAGCAACCTGGGCTGGTGGAAGGTGTCCCTGCCCATGGCAGGGGGTGGGACTGGGTGGGCTTTGAGGGCCCTTCCAGCCCAAACCATTCCCTGATTCTATGAAACATCACACGAGCCCAGGCTCATGGGCAAAAGAGAGCAGAGAAATAGGAAATATGGATAGGAAAATGGGTGCTTGCCTTGTCCTTATGTCTGCTGTTTCTCGAGGGGTTTATTTTTTTCACCTTTGCTCCTGGAATTCCAGGTGCAGGGAATGTTTCAGAGCTGTTAGCGAGGTGCTTTCCCCTCCCTTGTTGGCCTCTCCCTGCTCTCTCCTCTTACAGCTACCGCAGATTCAGTCGTCACCATGCCACATACCTTGGTGACCGCACAGGAGCGTCGCGTAGCGAAGGCGGCAGCAGCCTGCTTGCTTAGAGGTGTGGGTTGTAATTAACACAGAGCACCTGTTTTCTATATGCTTATTTTTATTTTTTAGGGGAAAATCAAAGCAGTGAATTTTATCAATAAAATCTGCGATGGTTCGAATGCGAATAGCTCTGGGGAACAGTTCTTCCTCTGCGGAAGTGAGGGTCAGGCGGGGTACTTTCAATGCCACAGAAAACAGAAGCAGTCTTGGGGGTTTGTGAGAAAACATCAAGATTAAAGAGTGTTTAGAAACAAGTTTTCACATTCCAGCTAAGCGGCCAACCGGTTTCGGTTCACCCTGTGTTTTGTATAATGTTTTTTCCATCAGTGCCATTGACGTTGCTGAACATTTTACCTTGAATCAGAGCAGAGCTGAAGACATCACACTTACAGAGGATTACGAAAGCAATGTACTTCTCTGTGCTAGAAACTTTGGTGAGAGAAGTTGAGAAATTAGAAATGTTCTATAAGGAAAAATGTGCTTTATGCAACATTTTGTACGGTGTGAGTCCTTTCCACGCGTGAAAAAGCGATTATTAGAAGTGCGTTTGGTTCATACTTGTGCTGATTGGCCTCTCGTACTGTCTTGTGCCTAAGTGTTTCTGTAAGAACTCTGCCTAAGTAATGCTGTCGGAGACAGAATCAAACCCAACACCTCCTGCATTTCACTGAATTAGCTCAAACTGTTTATTGTTTATTCCATTTGAGGTACGGGATATCTTCCAGTCTTTTAAAATTTTTTTGAAAAATTAGGAAATGGGTAAATATGTCAACAGTTCACACAGATGAAGCATCAGAGATTCTGTGTTTATCCAGACAGAGAACCAGACACGCTAAGCGAACAGCGGCTCTTCGACGGCGGCGCCTTAACGGGCAGTAACAGTCTCGTGGCTGACCAGAACTCTGCGAGCGTGAGGGGGGACAGGTCTCTGCTGCAGGAAGACACCTACTGTTTCGAGCAGGACTGTTTTGGAGACGAGGAGAACGCTGCAGACATGATTGGTAGGGTTTGCCACAGATACACAGTTAGTTTCTTTCCAAATATTTTTGTTCTTACAAGAAAAGAAAGCAGACAGCCTGAAAGTGATTGTTTCCAAGGATAAATTCTGTGGGTTTTGTTGTTTTCATTCTTCCCCTTGTCACTAAGTCTATGATCACTGAGCCACTGCCAAGTAAAATTCTATTAAAGGAGATATTTCAGGATTTTTAGAATTAAAGGCATTTTATGTACACTTAATGTTTACCAATTTAATTTATGTTTTCAAAGGTGAAATACTGAGTCATTTTTACTTTTATTGTGTCATAACAAAGGCAGCAAAGTAGCTTCTACATCTTCATAATTTAGAGTATTTACATAAACCTTTATAGATTTACACCTTTTAAGCATTATCAATATCATACCTTCCAAAGAAGAGTTGGCAGTCTCGAAATGAAGACTGACGTTCTCCTTTCTGTGCTGTTGAAGTCGACCGTATCGCTGACGGCCACCTGTGGAAGCTCAGCTTTTCTTGTTTGCAGAGAACTAACCCTAAATAAGTGACGTTCGGCTGTACTGGGCAATTTCATGACTGTTACAGCTTAGAATGATTGAAACCATGCGCTTTGTGCTTCAGAAATCCTGCTGAGGGATGAGCAAAACGGCCTGAACAGCCTGGGTAAAGATATTCTTGACACGGAGGAAGAGCATCCTTTGTCACAGGATCTGCCAGAGGACAGCCCAGCCAGTGAGTTTGCCGCGTCCGCTCCATCTTGCTGACACGCACCCTCTGTTCCTGTATTAATGCCTCAAGTTACTCCCATTCGGCCTTGTACAACGTCCCCTGGCTTTTCCCTTTGTTCCTGTCTTTGGCTTTTTTCCTGATACGCTTCACCCACCATTTTAGATGTAATTGAATTTGATCTAGGAGTTCTAGGGTGACCTGGCATTGCTTTTAGATGATATCCTGTGGGATACGCTGTTGATCCACCCTGCTGCTCAGGCAGTAGGATAGCACTCTGCGGGGAAAGGAGACAGAGTAAGGCTGTGCTCTAACCTGGAACTTCACCGAAGAGTGATCCTGGCTTCCTATTTCAGCCACCAGTGACACTTCCGTAGTTCATACAGGTGGTGTTAGTCATCTTGTGATCTGATACTGATGAAAGACATTAACTTTCGAAAAGTGTTTCTGGATTAATTGTTTTCTCTCTTAAATCCTTCAGCTTCAATCCTTTTTGAAGCTGTTACTTCAAAACTTCCAGTTCTGGAACAGCTTTAAAGGGAAACCGTGGCACGTAACCTCTCCTTGGGCTAGCTCTGGTACGACCCGTTCCTTTCATGCTGACAGGAACGTCCCCATTACCGGAACTGCAAACAGAAACGGATTGAAACAAACCCCTTTTCCCCTGAAGCACTTTTTGTCGGGTCGGTTTTGCTCATTCTGGGGTCTGATCCGTCACACGCGTGTGCTGGTTCTGTGTCAGCCAAGGCAGGCGTGCGGCTACAGCAGCAGCACTCGTGGTTACGGGTTAAATTCATTGTGAGATTATGGGCAAAACCATAGTTATCTAATTCTGATCTTTTTTTTTCTGATACCGTTCGCTGTCATAAGACTGAGAAATTATTCCATCTTTTACCCTTTTTTTTTAATTTGGGTTACATGCTGGATTTTTTCACAGTCGAGTGCAACTGCGCAGACACCGCCATCGAAAAAGTAAGCCATCTCACGAGTGAAATGACCCTTCTGTTGAAAGAAGAGGAAGGATTTGTGCTGGAGCCCGTTGATGAGACAGGTCAGAACTTGACCGGTTTCCTGCGGAATGTTTGTGTTACTGGGTTTGGTTTTCTTCTCGTTACCAAAAATATTTGCAAACCAGATCACTCACTTTCGATTTCACCTGCTCCTGCCATCAGATTTTACGGTAACTATTACCCAAAACCACTGTTGGGTGTTTCATCCCATCTGCCCAAACCTCTCCATGCGGTTTCGTGCAGGTACCAACCCAAGCTTGGCCGCTCTGCGGTTCGGCTGGCTGCGCAAGCCCAGCCTGCTCACGAGTGTCACTGCAGCTTCCGCCGGAAAATGTTCATGCCAGTGGCACATCAGTGATTTTCCTGTGTAAAATGACAACCTTTGCAAAAGTTTGGTTTGTGAACTTTTAACTTTAATGAGATCCAAAAAGCAGAGTGTTTTTGTTTCTTCTGTGAGTAAACCTTACGCGTCAGCTGTCGTGTCGGTGGCTGTTCGCCAATCAACAAGCTGACGTTGACACTAACACTGAGAATACTGGAATCTTCCAGCCTGCCGAAACAATATTCAGGAAGTTGCGGCTGTATAACCAATCCATGTCTCTTTTGCATTCGGTGTGTGCACCTTAATTAAATCGCTAAAGGATTAGACTGGGAAATACTGATGTTAATTATGAGGTAATGAAACCTGTTGAGTACATCAGCAGCTCTTGGAACAACTAACTTCCTGATGGATTAAAGAGAGCTTATTCAGCCTTATGGGCATATCATGTGTTCTCATTAAGTCCTCACGTTCCCGGTTCTTCAGTATAATAGTCATATGTCTTCCGTAATCACACACGTGAGCTTCCGGCACAAAGACTGTAGTGGATGAAAACTTTTGGAGAAAGGGTCCATGCATTTGTCCTTTGATTGTCAAGTCTCTGTGGGGTTTCAGGAGGTCAGCAGCCTGTCCATTTGACTCACAGTGCTTTGTTGTGTGTGAACACACCTTCCTAGACATTTATTTTTAATACTTGCTCTCTTTAGCTGTCACCCATCGGAAAAAAAAGAAAAGAAAGAGGAAGTTGCTTGTGGATGTAGAGAAGGAGCTCAGCTGCAGCACCATATACAACCAACTTAACAACTGCATGGACACCCTCACGACGCTGGACCTTGCCCCCCCGACAAAGAAAATGATGATGTGGAAACAACTTGGAGGGGTGGATACGCTCCTATCCCACGCTACACAGCCTGTGGTCCACGCCACGCTGCAAATGGTAAAGATCAACTCCTCGGGGGGTTTTGTGCAGATCCTGGGGTGGGTGCACATCCGGGATCCAACTTGGTTTGCTGTGAGCTCCTAGGAGCTGCAGGTGCATCGCGTCATCGGGACGATTGGTTTGCAGAACAGTTCCTTCAGCTGCCTGATGATTATTTGCATACTCACTGCTAATTACTTCATCAGAAAGATCTGTAGAGCTCATGGCTTTACCCTCCCGCCCTCCAACATGTAAAAAATGGCAAAGAAACTTGAGGGCAGACGTTTCATGTCACATCCTGGCACCCAACTGTACACTGGTACACAGCCCTGGGATTTCTGTTGATTCTTTTCCTACTTTCAACTTGGTTTTATTATTTTCTGGTTTTTTTCTGCTCTGTAATCAGTATGAGACCACATCTTTCTTCTACATTTACTTTAAAGGTACAACAGGCTTAAACATTATTATTGTTGTTGTTATTTCTTTTTAAAATTAATTATTTTTTATTATTAATGGCTTTGGGAAGATGGCCTACCAATTTATTTTGTACTTTCCCAACTGGAGATGAAGCTTCCAGCTGGAGAGCACTCAGGGACTTGGCTTTCCAAGAGCTAAGAGGTTCCTGGTTGCTCTGTCCCTTTGGCTAGCAGGGTGGGCCAGGGCAGACCACACTTTCCTGTGGCCCTGGACCTTCTGCACGAGACAGACTTGTTTCATGGAAATATGGTCTGTCAAAGCCTCTCGTGCCCGCACGTAGTGTCTGGCAGCTCATTCAGAGAAGCCGTAGATCTAGAGCTGGTGCTAAGATAGAGATCAGCGTGCATAGGAGGTGATAGGGAGAGGCACAGTGTAAACGATGTGCAGCAGCTGTAGGTTAACTGCACGGCCGTGCAGCCTGCGGAGGTGTGGGAGGCCGGGTTTCCAGGCAGACAGCTGCCGTTACAGCAGCACAGCTTCACCACTTAGAGTCGAGGTGCAGAATTACAACTCATTACAACTTGGAATTTCATCTGTGGGGATGAAAAATACACACCAGTAGACAGGGAGAGAAATCCACACACGGATAACGGGGGTGTTCCTTTCTTTAATCCTTCCTTCCTGGCTGGCATCAAGGAAAAATGATCCAAGCTGTTTCAAAGATGCTTCTTCATGGAGTTCAGTGCCAAAGTTGAAGCTGCAGAAGGCTGTTACTTAACAAAAAAGCAGATTTTCAGAATGACCTACTTCAAGTATCTGAATTCTGGGTTGCAGTAGTGAATGTATAGATCATATTCAAACCGTTGTGCTGATGTTTGCCAATAATCAGACACCATATTCTGCAAGCTAACAAATAAAAACCATTGTTTTCAGTTGTTTGCAAAGTGCTTCAAGAGTCAGGGGATACAGATGGACTCTGGAAGGGAAGAAGCAAAAAAAGATGCCCCAGGTAGGTGGTATTTCAGTTCTGTTGCTGCAGAATTAGCTGTTAGAAAATGTTTTCTGTTTACATGGTGTTTGAGAGACACACGCACCGTGTTTGTGTGCAGGGTTCTACAAACCAAAGGCCAAGGAAGGTAAATGTGAAGGAAATTTGTTGTTAATTATTAAAAAAAAAAAGCTTTTTGGCTTTGTAAGTGCTTTGCAGAGCTTTTGTTCCCCAGATCAGAAATGAAATGCAAGTCTCTCTCTTCCTTGTGCCATAAGGACCTGGTTTTGGTTTCACCTTTGGTTTCTCTGCCTACCAAACTGCAGATTTGCTTTGTTTTTAAAAAAAACCTTCCCACTTACTCTGAGTTTAATCAGACTGCCCTCCAAATTTCCAAATTCATAGAAATAACTTCTCTTTGTATCTTGAAGACTGTGATCTGGTTAATATCCAGCAGGAAGAGATATTCTGGTTTAGATCCCTGAGAAGGTGGTGCACCTGCAGTCTCTCCTTTGCTCTGCTGGAAATACCATCGGTATGTCTGCCTCAGGGGCTCACCAGCAAATCCCCCGTGATTCCTACAGGGCCAGCTTCTGGAAAAGGAACAACTCCCTTGGAAGGTTCTTCTTCCGTGGTCCTTTTGGGAATGATATTTATTCTGTATTTACTCATTAAAAAAAAAAATTGGGGTGTGATTTTGGCTTTCAGGCCAGCAATCCACAGTCGTTTCCTCTCAAACCTTGTTTTTAAACCTTGTGTTTTTGTTAATACAGAGATGCTGCTGGTAGAAGCGCCGAGTTACCTGCAGGAGTCAGCTAATTCAGAGACCGAGAGCAAAACTAGAAATGACTTGTTTGTGGCGACATCACCGAACGGGAGAAATGAAACCCACGGGAACTGTGGGGAAACTGTGGTGAGCAGCTCCCATACATTGTAGAGCCCCAGATGCATTCATTTGTTTCATTTTATGAGGGTCCCATACAAAACACAACAAGAAGTTCCTAATGTGTGTTTGAAAAGGGCGTTGGAGACACAGCGTTAAGCAGTGGTGTCATGAACGGTTATTTATAGGGTTATACTTGAGTAGACTCTCGCAATCAATGAATGATTAATTAAAATGTCTCTTAACCAGCATAGGTTACAGACTAATCACTCGATATAAATGAGAACTTAATATGCCATAATCCTTTTTGGACTGAGGGAGAAATCTAATCATCTTTATAAAGGATAACACTTCTCTTCCGTGTCTCAGACTCAGGAAATACTTAAGCAACAGCAAATTACCTATTTTTGCCCTTTTTCTATGGGCTAATGCAGAAGGGTGTCCTTTGGAGAATAGGAGGCTCCTTAAAGTTGAAAAAGACTGACAGAATTGGACCTGATGGCAGCCAGATGTGGGGTCTGTGCCTGTGCTGAGCCCAGGGGCGTAGATCCAGCTACAGGATGAATACTACAACGAGGTCCTTCCTATGTGGGAGCAGGTGTGGCAGGAATAGGCTATCAAATCATTTTGGAGAATGTTTATTATGATAAATAGCAGAATTAGGTAATTGAGGATCACCTTGTACGCAGGAAGTGAAACGCCTGACATGGACCTTTCTGTTCTAACAGCAGGACGGGGCGGCTTTCTCCGAGAGCTCCAACAACGGGCTGGACCGAGAAGCTGCGAGGCAGCCGGCGCGGATCACAAATGTACGTGTGCTGCACACCGACGGCTCCGGCCTCTCGCAGAACTGCGTTCTGTCTCAGAAATGCTGTGAGGAAAGCGATGGCATCGTGAACGTGCAGTGAATGTTGGTGTGCTAGCAGCATCTGTTTTGCCAGTCAGACTCTTTCGAGCTTGGTAATGAGGGATACATGTACTCCAGCATTCCAGGGTTGCAGCCTGCGAGGGCAATGGCTCCTTACCTGGAGGTTGTGCTTCCCGTGAGGAGGAAACGGTTTCTGGGGATGCTGACTCTGAAACGAGGGCAGTCTGCTCTTGGCTGCTGAGGTTAAGCCCAGAATTAAAGCCTTTTGGCTTCCTTTTTGGCCCCGACCGGTACAAATAGTGTCAGAATCCCAGTCACACGGAAGGGTTGTGGAGGTGCTTCCCCGCTCACAGGGGCCACTTCCAAGGCACCCAACGTGTTGCTGCACCGCGATCTGTCCCTTTGTCGCGGAAAGCACATAGTTGGCATTTCTGTTTCACAAAGCCCCGTGTGACCGCAGAGGTGTCAGACACCCCAGATATCCCTCGAAACACCCAGCTCCGGTTGGGTTTGGAACTGGGCTACAACCCTCATCCTTTCCGTCCTCGTGCCGTGTGACTCTTCCTGCCAGCTGCCTCACCTTCCCTTCTCTTCCCTCTCAAGGAGCTGCTGAGGAACGGGCAAGAGAGCGAAGAAATGAAGTGGAACAAAAGAACTCTCCAGCTGTTGAAGACTTTACAGGTACCAGTGCTGGGGTTTGTACCTGGATGCCAAAACCAGGTGCTGATTTCAGCGGGGCCACGTCAGAAAACCTCCTGCGTGGTGTCCTCTCCCAGCTGCTGGAACTGCTGGAAAGTGCTGGGCGTTACTGAGATGAGGGCTGGGGAACTGAGCAAGGGCTGTGCTAAAAACACGCCGGTAACACCTTCTTTCAAAGGTTTTAATGCCCTGGTGCTTCCAAGGTGCTTGGTATTTAGCAGCGCGCGTGGCCTTTGCCTCAGCAAGGCTTATTCCGCTTTTCTTCCAGAAGTCCTTGGGAAACTAGTGAAGCCATAAGGTAGGATATCGCACGGTGTCGCGACAGGAGCCAGTACAGGCTGAACTGCCCAACTCTTGGCCGAGCGGCCCAGTGCTCTTCCTTCCTTTGGAGCCGGGGGCGGGAAAACCACAGCCAGAAGTTATTTTCCATCAGGTCGGCTCTCTAATCCCATGTGCCACATGGAGAGTGGAGGAGGGCGATGGAGAAACCCGAGTGTGGGCAAGAAGGCGTGGGGGTTTGTCTGCAAAACACCCCAAATGTTGGTCCGAGCCCAGCTCGTCCCTTGTGCCAGAGTTTGACTTTGCAGCCTTCAGGGGTTTTTGAAAACATTATTTTATATGAACCTATTTCAAAGGTTCTGTGCAATTAAATACTTAAATATAAGTGTGGCCATTAAAACCCAACAAATAATAACACTTAATTAGCCAAGGCTAATGATGTGGCTGGTGCTCTGTGTCGGAAGAACAGGGATTTTTGTCGCTTGGAATCCCGCAAACCCTCGGAGATGGGCGTCATCGCGCCGTCTCCCTGGATTCGGAGTGACTGTAGATTTTAGTAATATATGTAGGTGCTGGCGATGGTATGGCAATAAAATGGGAAGAGCTGCTTGGGAAATGCCTTGATCCTGTTGGAGGAAACGGTTCCCTCGGAGCAGCGCTCCTTGGTTCAGACTTGATGGGATCTGGTTTTACCGGCAGTGAAGCTGCCCTGACCGAATTTCTCGTTCCACAGCACCAGAGGAGAGCAGGTGAGCGTTCCTTCAGTTTGCACGACCTCTGCCAGAAAAACAACCGGAAAGAAGCTGCAGCCAAGTTCTACACCTTCCTTGTTCTGAGGAAACAGTTGGTTATTGAGCTGTGGCAGAGCGCTCCCTTTGCCGACATCACCGCCACCGTCGGCCCGGCCTTCGACGCCCACTGAAATCACGTGGCATTTTTGTAAGTTAATAACTCATCTAACTCTTCATTTTCCAGCAAAAAGATTTCCTGGCAAAGCGATGGGATGCTTTGTCGAGCCGTGGGGAGCACGCAGAGCTCTCTTCCCTTGATCCCACCTCTCCGAACTGCCTGCCTTGTGCGGGTGCGCTGCAATTCCACACAATTCCCACAATTCCCAACTTGCATCATGAGGGATTTTACTAAAGTTCTTAAAATCCTTCCTCTGAGACCAGCTTTGGAGGGTCAGCCATCATGAACGGGGCGCGCGTCCGTAACAGAACTCTGCTAAGCGCTACCGCAACCTGTAGCCTACTTGAAGTTCCTCCTTCCAGGAATGTTCGGTGTTTGCTGTTTTGAGGCCTGCAAGCTACGTTTTCCGGTGGTCAGGTGGAAAGAAGCTACGCTATCCCTAGAAGACTCACGTAAACTTCAGGAAGAAACCTTATTCCCTAGAAATCCAGCAATTTTATGTTCCATGGAGCGCGTTACTTACGTGTGTACATCTATTTAAACACAGTTGTTAAACACAAATGTTACTGGTTCTTTGTGGTTTTGGCTATGTTAGGCCAAGCTTTGACGCTGTTCTGGTCATTTGGTAAAGTTAAGTGCGTTTCGGTTCCATCAGACCTGGGACGGACGGGTCGGCTGCGTGCCTTCGGTGCTGCGGAGCGTGGCAGAGCGGCGGGCATGCGGACGTTGCCCGCGCCGTGCGATAAATAACCCCCCCAAGCCGCTGTTTCCATGGCCCGTTGGTGTTTGTTCCGTGGGATCGACACGGCTGCCTACGCTGGTCCTGGGGGTTCGCCTTCTCCCAGTCACCGCTTTTGGTGATTCTCTGAAACCCCAAAGGACGGGTGACACTCGCACCCCGCTTTGCCGGGTGTTCGCTCACCTCGGTTACACCCCGTGCGGCCGGCGTGGCTGGCGCCATTCTGGCTGTGCGTTGGTTTATCGGCGCGTGTGGGATTCAGGAAACGTGCGGAATTGGCTCCCAGGGGTCTGGTCAGTGGAGTTTAAGGACTGAGGCCCCAGGGAGGGCTGGGCTGGGCTTATGGGGCCGCTCTGCTTTGGTTTTCTCCTTTCCACACAGGAATATTTGGAAAATAAGCGGTAAGAAGGCCCTGCTCCCTGAGGATTTCTTTTTCGGGGTGTAAGGAAGGGAAAAGTGACCCATTTGGTAAAAAACTTTCCATGTTCTGCAAAAGGAATGGCATTGTCCTTCCCTGAGGAAGCAGAGCAATGCTCCCGGAGTGCAGCCCAGGCCCGGACTGCTGCCGAGGGCTCCCTTCCTTCTCCTCCTTGGGCCAGGCCTGGCAGTTCCAGTCAGGAGCTGAGAACCAACCTGGGCTGAGGGAAGGGTTTGGATCTCCACTTCTCCCGCTTGGAATCTGGGGAGTGAGAACCTCTCCTCACTCCCTCCTGCACGGCTCCGGGCACCCTGCGAAATGAGCCCTGCGGAGGGAAAGGGAAAGCATTTTCCTCTCCCAAAAGCCCCCCCGGAATGACTCTGGCTCTCACGCTGGGTACGCTGCCAGCACCGCGTCTGCCGGGCGGGAAGAGCAGCTCCGGTGGCAGCCAACGTGGGAATTCATCTTCCTTTCAAGGACAGAGGTTGTGCATCGGGTTCACCGGGAAAGAGGGAAACAAAGGAGGCTGGAGGCAGGTGGGAATAAATGAGAGGCAGGGTGAACGAGGTCCAAATCCTGCAGGAAGCAGCCCTGGAAGCCAGGCTGGCACGTGCATGCAGAGCAGGTCTGTCCAACCGGCACAGCGCCGGCAAGGGGCACCCCGCCACACCGGTGAGTGCCCAGCTCCACATCCCTGGGCTTCCATCCCCACAGCCGTGCTCGGCATCGGACACGAATCCAAACTGGGAGCGGGTTCAGCTCAGACGGTGCCGACGTGTGACCTCTGTGGGTCCCTACGTGCACATGTACGTGTAACGGGCGTGTAACGTCGGTGCATGTG